AACACCACCACGACGTAACACCACCACGACGTAACACCACCACGACGTAACACGACGACGACGTAACACCACGACGACGTAACACGACGACGACGTAACACGACGACGACGCAACACGACGACGACGCAACACGACGACGACGACGTAACACGACGACGACGACGCAACACGACGACGACGACGTAACACGACGACGACGACGCAAGACGACGACGACGCAAGACGACGACGACGCAAGACGACGACGACGCAACACCACAATATAATATCACAACAACATAATAACACAACAACATAATACGACAACACAATGATAATGGTGGGGCATGGTGGTTCAGAGGTTAGAGAAGGTGAGCCTGTGATCAGAAGGTCGCCTGTTTAAATCCCTGGACCGACGACATCAAAATGCGAGTGGGAAAGGTGAAGCACCCACACCTGCCCCACCCTGAGCCAGTCTCCCAACCCCTCACCATCCATTCCAGGTCTCTCTTGAATATGAGTCCTCATGAATAACCTGCATGAATAAAGGTTGAAATTTATATTTATACATTTTTATTATATTAGTCCACCAGGTGATGCTCCTTTTAACATTTGAGGGGCACTGTAAAAAAAATAACCCGACGGGGGCTGAACTCACCTGGAAGAGTTGAGTCCGTCAGGTGGACGGTCCTGTGGAGTGACCGGTCCTGTGGGGTGACCGGTCCTGTGGGGTGACCGGTCCGGTCCTGTGGAGTGACCGGTCCTGTGGAGTCCTGTCTCTTGTCTCGTCCAACAAAACTGTTTTGGTTCGACTGTAAAGAGGAAAACGCACGTAGGTTGTGCACGAGTAAAGTATTTGGTATCAAACAGCAGAACCACCTTCATGAGGCAGAAGAACGTGCTGCTCCGACTCCGCTGGGCTGGATGGGTTTCTCCAAACTCCCCACAGGATTTTCTTTACAAACCATGAGCCCTGAAGGAGCTGAAATTTAAAAAGTTATTTTATTTTGTTTGTTTTTCAGGCTGAAATGTTTCCAACAGATTCATCGCTCGATTGTTGACACAAATATAAAAAACGTATTTTAAAGCATGGTTGGCAATATTTATTTATTATTATTATTACCCCACCCCTGAGTGTGTGTGTCTCTGGTGTGTCCTTCATTCTCGGCGCCTCTTCTTCCAGATTTTATCTGACACCAAGGAGCTCCAGAAAGAGATCAACAGCCTGACGGGGAAACTGGACCGGACCTTCGCTGTGACCGACGAGCTGGTCTTCAAGGTCCGTTTCTCTTCTAGAGACTGTCGGGGACGGTTTTAGCTTCTTGTTTTAGCTTCTTGTCGTTTTTTTAGCTTCTTGTTTTAGCTTCCTGTTGTTTTAGCTTCTTGTTTTAGCTTCCTGTCTTTTTTTTAGCCTCTTGTTTTAGCTTGTTGGTTTAGCTTCCTGTCATTTTAGCTTCTTGTTTTAGCTTCCCGTTTCAGCTTCCCGTTTCAGCTTCCCATTTTAGCTTCTTGTTTTAGCTTCCCGTTACAGCTTCTCGTTTTAGCTTCTTGTTTTAGCTTCCTGTTGTTTTAGCTTCTTGTTTTAGCTTCCCGTTTTAGCTTCCCGTTTTAGCTTCTTGTTTTAGCTTCTTGTTTTAGCTTCCCGTTACAGCTTCTCGTTTTAGCTTCTTGTTTTAGCTTCCTGTCGTTTTAGCTTCTTGTTTTAGCTTGCTGGTTTAGCTTCCTGTCATTTTAGCTTCTTGTTTTAGCTTGCCGGTTTAGCTTCCTGTCATTTTAGCTTCTTGTTTTAGCTTGTTGGTTTAGCTTCCTGTCGTTTTAGCTTCTCGTTTTAGCTTCTTGTCGTTTTAGCTTCCCGTTTTAGCTTGTTGGTTTAGCTTCCTGTCGTTTTAGCTTCTTGTTTTAGCTTGCTGGTTTAGCTTCCCGTTTTAGCTTGTTGGTTTAGCTTCCTGTCGTTTTAGCTTCTTGTTTTAGCTTGCTGGTTTAGCTTCCTGTCGTTTTAGCTTGTTGGTTTAGCTTCCTGTCATTTTAGCTTCTTGTTTTAGCTTCCCGTTTCAGCTTCCCGTTACAGCTTCTCGTTTTAGCTTCTTGTTTTAGCTTCCTGTCGTTTTAGCTTCTTGTTTTAGCTTGCTGGTTTAGCTTCCTGTCATTTTAGCTTCTTGTTTTAGCTTGTTGGTTTAGCTTCCTGTCGTTTTAGCTTCCCAGTTTAGCTTGTTGGTTTAGCTTCCTGTCGTTTTGGCTTCTTGTTTTAGCTTGCCGGTTTAGCTTCCTGTCGTTTTAGCTTCTTGTTTTAGCTTGTTGGTTTAGCTTCCTGTCGTTTTAGCTTCTCGTTTTAGCTTTTTGTTTTAGCTTCCTGTCGTTTTAGCTTCCCGTTTTAGCTTGTTGGTTTCGCTTCCTGTCGTTTTAGCTTCTTGTTTTAGCTGGCTGGTTTAGCTTCCTGTCATTTTAGCTTCTTATTTTAGCTTGTTGGTTTAGCTTCCAGTCGTTTTAGCTTGTTGTTTTAGCTTGTTGTTTTAGCTTGTTGGTTTAGCTTCCTGTTTTAGCTTCTTATTTTAGCTTCCCGTTACAGCTTCTTGTTTTAGCTTCCCGTTACAGCTTCTCGTTTTAGCTTCCTGTCGTTTTAGCTTCTTGTTTTAGCTTGCTGGTTTAGCTTCCTGTCGTTTTAGCTTCCCAGTTTAGCTTGTTGGTTTAGCTTCCTGTCGTTTTAGCTTCTTTTAGCTTGCTGGTTTAGCTTCCTGTCGTTTTAGCTTCTTGTTTTAGCTTGTTGGTTTAGCTTCCTGTCGTTTTAGCTTGTCGTTTTAGCTTCTCGTTTTAGCTTCTTGTTTTAGCTTCCTGTTGGTTTAGCTTCCTGTCGTTTTAGCTTGTTGGTTTAGCTTCCTGTCGTTTTAGCTTGTCGGTTTAGCTTCCTGTCGTTTTAGCTTGTCGGTTTAGCTTCCTGTCGTTTTAGCTTGTCGGTTTAGCTTCCTGTCGTTTTAGCTTCCTGTCGTTTTAGCTTCCTGTCGTTTTAGCTTGTCGGTTTAGCTTCCTGTCGTTT